ATAAAACATAAGTGCTTATATAATTATCTAAATGTTATGGTAGAAAGAAAGTTAGTTATTCACCAATGTTGTTTAGAACGGGACATAAAGTAAGTAGGATTGCTTATTTCACTGCGACAGAAAATGTTTGCCTGTCTTGGCATGCTCAAGATTTATGCTACCTACGGCCTACGGTGCTAGGATTTATTGTAAACGGTCCCGCCTTCGACTGAAGCGTACAACCTACCTGCGTAGGTAATTGATTTTTCCACCATAGGCACCTGCCTCTTTAGATTTAGGCAATGACGTATATGTAGGAAGGAGGATTTATAGGAACAAATAGACGACGTTGGATGCAGGTCAGGTTGCCAACTTTTTTTCCATTAAATATTTTTAGGTTGCCATTTAGTAGTTACATCTTTATCAATAATCAATAATCAAATCAATAAGTCGCGCAGCGTGCTATGGAGAGGACTATGCTCGGTGTTTCCCTACGTGATAAGATCCAAAATGCGGAGATCCGTAGAAGGACCGGTGTGTACGACATAGCCCGAAAAGTTAGCACGCTGAAGTGGCAATGGGCAGGCTACATCGCTCAAGGATCTGACAACCGCTGGGTAAGAAAGGTCCTCGAGTGGCGACCACGTACCGGACGACGTAGCGTGGGGCGGCCCCCAACAAGGTGGACTGACGACGTCGTCCTATGTGCTGGGAGCCGCTGGATGCGGATAGCGCAGGACCGCGCATTGTGGCGTTCTATGAGGTCCAGCAGTGGACGGAGAAAGGCTGATGGATGGATGGATGGGATTAATTTATTAGTGGAAAATATTTAATTAAAATATTTTAAAATAATCATACGTAGTACAAGTGTTTGGGTAGCAGCATCTCCTTGAGCAAAACCACAGACCAACTAGCGCGGTAGAAGTTTTTCCATGTAAAATCGCTACTGCGCTAGCTTCCTTCTCTATGGTGCGATGCTCGAGAAATTTGCCAGGGTGGATTGTATACCCACCAACTGTACCGTCACTTATACCATGTAAGCTCTGATAAAATTAATAAAATTGTAACTTATTCAATAATAATATGAATTTGTTGACATGTATAATGTGATAAAATATAAATGGAATTATAGTTTTATTAAGATTGCCATTAATGTGACTAATAACAATAATAATATTCATTGGATTTATTGTAAAATAATTTGATATTTGTGTGCTAATTTAGCGAATCATGTTTGAGCATCATATTTATTGTAACATCTATTTATTTCACCATCATCATCATCATCATCATCACCAGCCTATTAATGTCCCCACTGCTGGGGCACAGGCCTTCCCTATGGATGGAATAGGGAGATTGGGCCATGACCCACCACGCGGGCCCAGTGCGGATTGGTGGGTGCTAACGACTGCGGATGCAGCAGGGACCAACGGCTTAACGTGCCTTCCGAAGCACGGAGGAGCTCAAGATAGTAATTTTTTTTTTTTTGGTCACCCATCCAGTGACCGACCACTGCGAAAGTTCGAGCTCGATGGCGCAAGTGTTTAGCGCGTTCGGCTGCGATCGTTAAAGTTAAGCAACTATTTCACCATGTTACTTGTTTATTTAGATAAATAGCTATGTATTGCATCTGAAGGTTAAATTATTTACTTTTTTACGTTCGGGATAAATTTATGGTGGTATCGATTCTGGCATGATTCTCTAAACCTAAACTTAAATTTGACAACAGTGTATCCTTGTCATTCTCTACATAGGGAGATAAGGGAGAGATCGATGTTGAATTTAGTTTTAAGTTTAGAGACTCATGCCAGAATTGACACCAGTATAATACTTACATAAAATTTTTGATGTTTTGAAACTCTGAAGCACAGAAATCAGGATAAGTAGCGAAGAAATTTGCAACCATAAAAACATCTACTACAGGATTTGCACTGACGGCTTTCAGAAACCCGGCTTCCATTGTGGAAAATAAGTAAAAATAAAAAGTAAAAAAAGGTAAATTTAAAAAATCAAAAAACCCGACTGCTTAATTATACTTCAAATAAAAACTGAAAAGAAAAGAAAAAAACAAGTCCAGTAGTCTATAATTCTGTTAATAAGGAACAAAGCTACTTTAACAGTCGGGACCCATTAGATATTCAAGAATACATAATATTTTTCAACAGTGGGTCCCGACTGTTAAAGTAGCTTTGTTCCTTATTAACAGAATTATAGACTACTGGACTTGTTTTTTTCTTTTCTTTTCAGTTTTTATTTGAAGTATAATTAAGCAGTCGGGTTTTTTGATTTTTTAAATTTACCTTTTTTATTTCACACTTTTTAGTTAGTTAGTATTTTAAGACGGTATATACCGTAGTCTTGTTACTTCAGTAAGGGAATTAATATCGCGGGAATTATTAAGTACCTTGCGTCGGTCTAAAAGATTGATTTATTAAGACATAAAAACTTTACCAGCGGGGTCAAGTTACAGATGGGCCTCAATTTTCGCAAAAATGTGTGAAGTTAAATCAAGTCGTTACATAAATATCTCTAATGTATGTAAATTTTATAGTAAACTAGCACTTACTCAAAAAGTCAGCTTTTGTTTATGTTTTTTTTAATAATTTAGCAGTAAATATAAAATTCATTTACTTTTATTCGTCGACTATTTAAAATTGGCAGTGGCTGCATTGTCATGTCAATGCCGGACGTCTAAGATTGTGATATACACAAATTCAGTGTCAGTTCCTAGTCTCATAATTTGATATACCTACATAATTCACAGAAACCCAATATGTAGATGCCAGAAGTTAACTTCAAATATTTTTAATCACCTATATACAATACCAATCAATGACGTTTATGTCGCAGGTTGAAGAAAGAAGTAATTCCCGTCTGTTGTTTTGGACAATGGTGGCAACTGCCTTAGATCACTAAATTAAATAATTATGCAATCACCAAAGCAAAGTTTATAATATTTGATTAAAATATAGGCGCATAATAAAAGTTTCATAACGTTAGGTAGAGCACCATAGCAGTCTCATTTATTATCAATTTATAGTTCTCTTTGTAGTTTTCTTTTAAAGCGTTCACATTTAACAGGTCAAAGACTTTGTGTTCGACCCTTTTTTATTGGTAGTGTATAGCTCGAATGAAGAGTACTCCCAGTAGTGCAATCATGGCAATTATTTTCCAAATTTTTTTTTATAAAGAAGCAATATTTGTATGTTTGTAACAAATAATCTGTCAAACTACTGAACCGGTTTCAAATATTAATTCATCATAAGGTAGCTACATTATTTATTATAACATTTTTCTTTATTTAAATACATTTTGTCCGAGTGACATAGGCTATATTTTATCCCGATAAATAAATTTCGCCCTTACAATGCCCGGGTGGATCACTAGTAAGTATAATATAATATTATAGATGCGAAAGTGAGTTTGTTTGTTGCGCTTCCGTGACCTAATAGCTAAATCGAATATAATGAATTCCCTTATAGAAGTAGATGGGAACTTAGTTCTTAGCTACAACATCGCAATACTTATAGACGTAGGGTGATGAAAGGGGTGATTTACCTATAAAAATCTACATTATTTACTTTGAATTTTGCAGAATTTTTACAAAACCAATATTATCGCGAGCTGATTAATAAATACAGGGATTCCGATAAGTATGTACTTACTAGCGAAAAATGGGTTATTTGTCATTATATTAAGTAAACCTTTTTTGTAACCTTAAGTAATATCGTTAAAAAAAATGAAAAACAGTAAAACGTAACGTAAGTTTACATAGTACACCGCGCTATCACTTTGTCATCGTTGTAACTTTTTAAATATTTGTCGAAATGACATAGTGTAAAAAGCAAAGTTTATCGTCTTTAAATATCAAAAGCGATTAAAGTATTTGTTTTGATAAAAAATGATTTGTTAATACAAAATGTGCATTTTGGAAATAGATATCAAATAATATTTTAGTTTTGATTCACTATTTTAGCGGTAATGACTTACACATTAAAAATAGATATATGGTGTCAGGGACTTTTTTTTAGAACTATTTAAGAGATACATTTTCACTCTACATTACATTCATGTAACTTTTATTGTTTTTGCAGTGCAGGCCAAAATGGCTCGCAGATGGGACATTTTTTTCCGTCTTATGTGACACTTATTGCTATATATTGGCCAATTCACTCAATAACTACATAAATTATTATATATATGTAATTATCAAATATGAGCTATATTACTATTAAGTTTCATTAAAATCCATTCAGTATTTTTTAGGTGAAAGAGTAACAAAGATCCATACAAACGTAAGATTGAAATTAAAAGCGTAAGTGGTTAATATACAACTTTAAAGCATTGTAGATCCTAAACAATCATATAAAATGAAAAATGGTGTTAGGAATCTAAATATGATTTTTGATTATCTAGACAGTGATATACTACCCCACTCGACATATTTTGTCAACTTTTTTTTTTTACTTCGTCACAATATGGCGCCTAATTTTGCCCATATTGAATTTTGATTACTATCATATGTTTAGTAGCACTCCCATGATTGAGACGAATCGATTGATGTATGAATCATCAAAATCGGTCCAGGCGTTTGGTCTCTAGTGTGCCACAAAGGAACAAACATACATATATAGACTGTTTGCGCGTCAAACACATAACCCTGTCTGCGCGTCGCGCTTCGCGCTCTTGCATTGCGCAGCCGGGTAATAATGAATTATTAATATTTTGTTTTACAGAGCTATCAGAAGAATGGGCACTAGCGGAGTGCGAAGGGGAAGGGTGGTGGAAGGAGGCGCGCGATTCGAGCCACGACCACATCGACGTGCAGCCGGGTAAAAACGAAATACTCTAACAATGAAATCGTCAAATAATTTCTTCGTAAAATCACAGATCGTCCACAGACTACATAGGTGTTAAAATTCTTTACACAAAGTTGACGACACATAATAGACATCATAGAACCGAGCGTTTTGGCGGTAAATTCAAAACCATTAAAAAAACAACTTTAATTGGTCTAATGGAGAAAAACGACATTAATTAATTAATTTTTATTTTTCTGTTAAATCGTTTGTCTCAATCTTTAAATATAAGCAGTTTTCAATAATTTTGAAAATACCCTATTCACCATTAATTTATTTTTGCGAACTTCATGAAAATATTTCACATCTTATTTTGAACCTTATGTCTGTAGATTAGCGTTCATGTTTGCCGCCTTCTCCCGCTTCTCTTTCAGATGCAGCAACCTCTTCAGTCGACGCTGGAAGTAATTGGGAGGGTACGTCTCTAATTTCGACTTCCTCACACCAGGGTGGATCTCCACTCTGGCTATTTCCACCATACGTCGCAATGTATGAACTCGCACTTTCATAGCAGGCAAATTTGAAGTGACATCTGAGTAAATAATCTGGAAGAACATAAACTTCTTTTCTTAAATAAGTTAACATAAGGTGGTGCATAAGGCATAGAGGAATGGAGCAGCGTACGCATCACACACATATATATGTATATTTCTCGTAGCGTTTCAGCCTTCGCCGAGTTACCCTCCAACTTTCATGCTCGTCGGGAAGAGTTGCGCTCCCATCCCATACACACATACACCAACATATACGGTGGTGGTCACATAATTAAAGACACCCCCTAATAAACCACAAAAAACTTACAGGTACTAACATTAGCTAAAATTGATATTCAATCCAGTTTAATTGTTATTAAACCATACACGACGTTGTATTCTTACAATGTAGGATAAAAAATATTTGTGTTCGTTAGTACTTTATACACTGCTCACTGCACCCTCAACAACACGCCTATAGAAAAGGCTGATCAACAGAGTCGGCACTGCATGCGGTGGTCCATAAAATAGAGTCGGCAATCACAAACAAAATCTCAACATTGGCAGCTTTCATAGACATAGAAGGTGCTTTTGACAAAACGATGCACAACAGCATTAACCACGCCCTAAGAAAACTCAAGTTGGACCAAGTTACCAGGAGTTGGATTACCGAACTGGTCGGCAAAAGGGCGGTTCAGATAGTGGGGAACACTACCACGCGTGCGAAGGTAGTAAGAGGATGTCCTCAAGGGGGAGTCCTATCACCACTACTCTGGAACATAGTAGTAGACAGCCTCCTAAGGAGTCTGAATGATAGAGGATACACTACTATTGGTTATGCGGATGACCTAACAATTCTGATAAATGGGAACGCTGAAAACGTCCTGTGTAAAGTTATGCGTTCTGCCCTTCAGATTGTGGAAAAATGGTGTGACGAACATGATTTGTCAGTAAACCCGAATAAAACAGAGCTTGTTCTTTTCACCAGCAAAAGGAAGCTAACCGAACTACAGTTACCAAAACTGTTTAATACCAAACTCTCCCTATCAACACAAGTGAAATATCTGGGCGTAATCCTTGATAACAAATTGAACTGGGCGAGTCATATTGAATTAAAAACAAAGAAGGCCTGCATAGCTTTTAACCAGTGTAGAAGATTAGTTGGTAAAAAATGGGGTCTTAGTCCTAAGATCACTCTTTGGCTATACACAGCAGTTATCAGGCCAGCAATCACCTACGGTTCAGTTGTTTGGTGGCCCAGGACCCAACTGACCACAGTGAAATCTAAACTCCAAAGTCTGCAGCGCTTGGCGAGCGTAGCAGCAACTGGATGCATGAGAACAACTCCATCTGCTGCATTAGAGTACCTCTTGAACTTAAGACCTCTAGATCTGGTCTTACAAGAAGAGGCGAAAGCAGCAGCCTTGAGACTAAGATCTTTGGGCCTATGGAGATCAAACACTGTAACAACACACTCCAATATTCTACAAAAGTGCATGAAGGAGATCCCACTCCTGGAGGCACCTATTGATAGAATATTGGGTCAACACGGTCGTCTTTGATCGAAGATACAACATCCAACTTACCGCGGAAAAGGTAGACCACTCTGGCGCCGGGGAAGTTAGGATATACACAGATGGCTCCAAAACCAACATTGGTACTGGAGCCGGTGTCTTCTCGAACGACCTCAATATAAAAATATTCACAACCTTAGACAAACTAAGCACAATCTTCCAGGCGGAATGTATTGGCATTACCAGAGCGGCACAGACGGTTGCAGCCAGAGACATCAGAGAGTTCAACATTAAGATCATCTCTGACAGTGCATCCGTGCTTCAAGCCCGACGTAGCAACACAATAAACTCTGTCCTGGTAATGGAGTGCCACAATGCACTTCAATCCATTGCGGTAACCAACACGGTAACTCTGCAATGGTTAAAAGGACACAGCAACTCAATCGGAAACGACGCAGCAGACGAACTGGCTAAGAGAGGAGCAGACACAAAAGTGTATGGTCCGGAACCTCTTCTGCCCATACCTCAGGCCCAAATTAAGACGTGGCTGCGTGAAAGAACTCAAAAACTACACTTGACTGAGTGGAAAACAGGTGAAGGATGCCGGTAAACGAAAAACGCAGTTCCGGCGGCAAACAAGAGACTTGCCCGCACCCTTACCAGACTTAATAGGGTCAAACTCCGCATAATTATAGGAACCCTTACTGGTCATTGTCCCCTAAACAAACACCTATACACAATAGGAGTAACAGACAGCCCCCTATGCAGGCAGAGGAAACGCCACAGCATGTCATTATGGAATGCAGGAGTGTGACCGACCAACAGGCACGACTTCTCCAGTCACCCGCATCGCTTCCGGAAGCTTGCAGCAGTCTGTCAAGACTGCTTTCCTTCTGGACTAACCTAGGCTGGCTGGAGTAAACGGGAATGTTTCAAGACACGCACAATGGTCCAATGATTAGGACTAATTGCGGAAACCGCCCTGAAAAACAAACAAAACACTGCTCGCTATGGGAACGTAGCACAAACTTTTTTAAAGTATTTATATCTGGCCAGCTAATTAGAGACACTCGATTTGTTTAGAAGAAACAGAAGAAAAAAAATGCTATTATTGAAATTATCTTTATTTCACAATTTTCCTAACACATTTATAAAACTTTCCGGTACGTATCAATATTCGGTCGCATGTTCTTTGGCAGAAATGAAAGCACGACATCGCTTGGGCATGGAAGCGATCAATTTTTTACAAGCTTCCACCGGAATTTGCTTCCAAGCTTCTCTAAAAGCTGTGTAAAGTTGATCGATGTTTGATTTCCGTTTTGTCGCCACGGTCTTCTTTACCTGGTACCGCAAATTTTCTATTGGGTTTAAATCAGGACTGTACCGGGGCCAATCCTAAACTGTCACAACTGTTCCTTAAGACCGGTAAATTTTGCTCTCCAGAACACAGGTTTTACTGTCTTTAATTAGGTGGCTAGCTACAAGTACGTTAAAAAAGTTTGTGTTATGTTCCCATAGTGAGCAGTGTCTAAACTACTAACGAACATAACTATTTTTTGTCCCACATTGTAAGAATACAACGTCGTGTATTGTAACAATTACACTAGATTAAATACCAATTTTAGCTAATTTTGGTACCATAAGTAAGTTTTTTGTGGTCAATTAGGGAGTGTCTTTAATTATGTGACTACCACTGTATATAGTCATGTGAGACTGGTGACACATTCCCGTTACATCTTTTCCATAGGGGTTTATCCATTTACACCCCGTCCGATTACAAGTTTCACTTAAAAAAAGTTTTGTGTTTGAAGAAAGGGCGCCCGATTCGGAGCGCCCACGTCTAGGGAAGTAACCTCTTATTGAAATAACTTTATCTTTTGGTGGTGTTGTGTTTCCATTGATGAGCAAGGTTCCAGGGCTCCACAGGGCAGGGGGGATATGGTTAGGTTAGGTTAGGTTAGGCAACAACAATGGCGTGATTGATACTATCTTATCAGAAGCGTCTATAGGATAACAAACGCTTACCTTAAGGCATGCCAAATGATACTTTGCTACCCTTAAAATAAAAATACAGGGAGAAGCGAAATGACAGACCGCACCGGTAGCCGAAGCTAAGCTAAATGAGTTTAAGCACTTAACACACGAAAGCTGCCTAAACGCTCCAAAAGGTTATTCGCAAGAATTGTCAGATATTTGTATCAACAATTACTCAGCCGAAGCTTTTTTGTTTTAGGGCAATTTTTGTCCAATAGACTTACTACAATGGATTTTATGTGCCAACCTTAAGATTCATTTGAATTAACCAAATGTTTCAAGCGTTGATCGTTTCGATTTGACATGAAAGTTGGAGGGTAACTCGGCGACGGGTGAAATGCTACGAGCGTCACACGCGACAATATATACATATATATGAGTGATCCGATGCTGCTCCATTCCGCTATGCCTCATGCACTGCCTAATGTTAGGTTATTTAAGAAAAGAACTTTCACTTTAGATGTGTGGTCCATGCACACTATTATTCTTTATCTGTAGACTAGCGGCCCGCCCTCGTTTCGCTTCGGTGTAGAGCTGAAGTGTAGACTAGAGTTTTTGTTCTCAGGCTTGTATTATACATAATGACATTCATCTATGATTCTTCTTATACCTGCATGCAAAGACGCAGCCCAACTTTCATTCCCTATTTTATCCCCTTGGGGGTAGAATTGATCAAAATCCTTTCTTAGCGGATGCCTACGTCATAACATCTACCTGCATGCCAAATTTCAGCCCGATCCGTCTAGGGGTTTGGGCTGTGCGTTGATAGATCACTATGTCAGTCAGGCAGTCACCTTTGAGTTTTATATAAATAGATACCTAATATTAAATCAGAATATTTTAATCTAAGGTTGAGATTCTTACCAATATGTCCGATGTTTTTATTGCTATTGTAATTTGGGTTGCCACGCAAAACATCAAAGTAAAACCTGAAATCGATGATCCAAATATAATTCATCATAGTAAATAAATTAATCAGCTATTCGATGCTTCATCAGATCATCAGCTATGCTTATGACGAGCTCGATGGCGCGGGCCTGTTATTAAGCCGTTGGTCCCGGCTGCATCTGTAGTCGTTAGTACCGACCAATCCGCACTGGGCCCGCGTGGTGGGTCATGGCCTAATCTCCCTGTTCCATTCATAGGGAAGGCCTCTGCCCCAGCAGTGGGGACATTAGTAGGTTGATGATGAATGATTCGATGCTACAGTATAAGCGCGTTTAGTCTGAGATTGTGGAAGTAAAGCATCTCTCTCAATGGAGGGTCGTAGGATGGGTGGTCAACATTCTTGTAAGGAAATTGGAATATTTTGTCGAGTAAAATTTTCTTTAGATTTAAACATCTAACAGTTAATGCTTAAAATTAAAAAAAATATAATAATCAACATTATTAGGCTCGATGGCGCAGGTGGTTAGCGCGTTCGGCTGCGATCGTTGTAGTTAAGCAACTTTCGCAGTGGTCAGTCATTGGATGGGTGACCAAAAATTTCTATCTCGAGTTCCTCCGTGCTTCGGAAGGCACGTTAAGCCGTTGGTCCCGGGTGCATCTGCAGTCGTTAGCACCCGCCATGGTGGGTCATGGCCCAATCTCCCTATTCCATCCATAGGGAAGGCCTGTGCCCCAGCATTGGGGACATAAGGAGGCTGATGATGATGAATCAACATTATTCTGTTAAATAGGCCTCGTCGGTGCTGCGCGTTTTGGCCCCGGCTGCACATTATTTCATCATCATCATCATTTCAGCCGTACGACGCCTATATATGCAGGTCGATATTCATACTTAATTAACTGTTTCAATATGTAATGTAAGATAAAATACAATTCTTTACATTATAATTCATAAAGTGGTATGGAACTAAGTGAATATTGAAATGTCATAAGTAGACAAATAAGTCTCTATCTAATTACATAATTACTCTATATATAAATACTAGAATAATAAAACTAAAACTTAAAACCTTAAAAAATAAAATTAATAACTAAAATATATTACTAAAAGAAGTCCCTTTAGGCAAGGATCCGAAGATACTGGCAGCGTTACCCCTTTGAATGGCTAGACTAATTCTTTGTCCGAGGTAGCTGCCAGCTCTTCGGTCTCCTGCGATGTCGACTAACCAACTAACTGTTACTTTGAACCCTTGGTTCACATTCTCCCTCATTCCTCCATCACCTTTTCTTCAGAGGACCACGCGCGCTATCCTACGTTGTCACCGACTTACTGTGGCCACTATTCCTACACGAACAAAGACATTTGTTGACACATATGTGTTTGTCGTACTATTCGCAAGTGGAATTCTTTGCCCGCGCACATGTTCCCCCTTCGTACAATCTGGGGACCTTTAAGAGAGGCGTGAAGAAGCATTTCTGCAGTTTATAACTGCTGTACCAGCTATCCTTGCGCCTGGACTTTAAAACCACTTAACATCAGGAGGGGTAGAGTCATGTGCCAACCTTGCCATAAAAACAAAAGGCTCGGATTGAGCTTCGCCTACATTAAGAAACCCTTTCGTAGAGCGACGATTCTATGTTTGTAAAATGAGATGCATATCCCATAACAATCAGTGTATTTAAACTTACCCAAAAGTCGCATCTTTAAAATAATTCAGTCGACATTTTTAAATTGTAAAAAAAAACATTGTTAATTTTGTGTAGGTGAGACTGCCTTTGACCAGATTTTGCACACGAATTGAAACAGCCAAATGAAATCAATTTACACGCGGTTTATGTTTCGTTTAAAATTTAATTAACTTTGTGATTTCATTTTTTAAGCAAGGTACTTAAGGTAGGTATATGAAAATTTTTATAAAGAGATACGAAGTTTTATTTTTTTTAACATAAAAATAGTAATGTACTATAATATACAGTCATCACAACAGACAAGGCATATTAGTTTACATGACACCTTCGCTACAGAATGGTCCGTACTCAGTTACTCAGATACGGTATTACTCGAAAGACTATCTTTCAAATCGATGGATTTACTGTAAAACGAGTAAAAATCAATGTGTGGACAGGGAAAATCACAACTGGAAGGCTAATTCGCAAGACGGGATGCGTTGATTTTTACTCGCTTTAGAGCAGCCTTTCCCAAAGTGAGCGATTAATGACCCGTCTTTCCTAGTGGGCACTTTGGGCAAGTGCCCAGGGCCCCACGATCAATAGGGGTCCCCTCAGGTCAAATACAAAGTCCCTAGTTCCTGTTAAATCACCAAAGGGAAGTCATAAGGGCCCCATTATCCTAATATGCCCAGGGCCTCCAATTATCTCCTCCTAACTATCTCCAATGACACCTTGTGGACGCTGCAGGCCTAAAGGGTAAGAGACCCAGTAAAAATTGGGGCGTTGTGTAGAGGCTTCTGGGTCATCTATAATTTCATCTAGGAGGACTCTTAGGCCCGTATTAAAGAAAGATGGTCAGTGATATATAGCACATAGCGACATCCCTTTCTAACTGTACTCAAGTAAAGGTCAACATTTAGTTATCATTCTGTAATACGGGCCTTAGACACCGACTGAGCTCTGGAATCCCGACTACAACTTGTGAACATTAACTAATATTAATTAAGAGATTGCTCAAAGTAACTCGATTCGGTATTTCTCTCCGTATGGTTTATATATCTGCCCTGTTTAATTGAATAAATAAAATAAAAATCATGTCAATCGGTCGCACCATTTCGAAATGAAAGTCGATACAAACAAACAAATTCCTCGATGAGTAGGTACTTTTCGTAGATAATAGACCGTAAAAATCTTGTTTAGAATGAATGTTTAATCTCCGCTAATATAGAGAACAGTGCAAGTTCATTCATCGTGATGTATGGTGGAAACTGCAACTTGTGTGAGAAAGTCGATTCTAGTGACACACCCGAACTAATTCAGCGTCGTCTGAAATATTGCTAAAATTAAAGGACAAGCAGAAGACGAAATTCGACGAACAGTCACGAAATTTTTGTAATGATAAATTATCAGAGATTTCTAAATTATCAACAATTTATTTTTCCTTCAAACATACCAACCCTTGCTAATTGCAATTGAGTTAGCAGAACACTCACTCAAAAAAAACCTCAAAGTTACTGGTATTTTTTACCCTCAGAGAATCGCATTCCTAGGTAAATTTTAAAATACATTTCTCGTCTCTGTAAGAATCTTCTTTTGAGATATCTGATAACTTACTTTGAAATATATTGCAAGCTGATATGAGCGAGCAGCCAGTGGGAATATCGTCACATGCAAGACTTGGGATTGTAAGTAATCAGTGGGAATATCGTCACATGCAAGACTTGGAATTGTAAGTAAATAGTACCTAAGTACAGCAGGGCAGCACTGTACATGAACGCAGCCGGTTCAGTCAATGTAATTACTCTCAATTTGTGACTGCGGTCACACGCTGAGCGGCAAAGATTAATGGCAAGTGGGGAAATTAGGTACTAAATTACATATTATGCCTATTATGTTCGCTTCAAAATATCATGCGGTTTAGTAAAGTGGCAAAAGTCCATTAATCATATCAGCCCACTGCTGAGAGACGCTCACTGCTGGACATAAAGGGAGGGATTCTCCCCCCAAGGGATTCCAAATCGACCGGTTCTGCGCTGCCCGTATCCAGCGGCTTCCTGTGACCTTCTCACCAGATCGTCTGCCCACCTTGGAGGCAAGGGCGGATTCAGCTTTTTCGCCGGGGTGGGGGGGGGGGGGGGGGGGGGTGGTCATATAGTCGTGGTCCGCCCTTGCTTGGGGGACGCCTACCAACGCTGCGCCTACCTTGATAAATCCTATGGAAAAAACCGTGGCATTAAATATAGTCAAATTGTACTATCGACGAAACAACGCGACCTAAACTAATTCGTTGACAATTTGTTAGTAAAGAAACGAAACTAATTTTACTATAGGCACAAACAGTAAACATAGAACTTATTGTCGCATCTGAACAATATATAATCTGTGCGTTCACAAATATCACACACGGAGCGCAGGAACGGAGTTCGAATGCTTCTTTTTTCAAACGACTCTACATGAATTTGCACATATGGCTGCCACCGGCGTTACTTGACTTTTCTTTTGATAAGTACTCCCTGCGTTTCTCGGCGCAGTATAAAACCTAACCCGGGGCGACCCGATCACTAGTGCCGTTTCGTTCGTTTCTATATTAAGATCGCCTTCCCACGGCCTCGGTTCACGATGCGTCCGCGCACACCGATCGCCCGCACAATAAAAACCAAACGTAGTACCTATTATATTTTTCCTACGAATTCGACTTTCCCTGTGGTCACTTGAGAAAGTGTCACGGGAAAAGGTACCTAAAGTGTTCTAAAATTCGGGTGTTGCAGTTCTAAAATGGTAAGTTTAGTTCGAAGTTCGAAAATAGAACGTGATCTTGAAATATTGGCTCGCGGGACCATCTTAGTGTTATATTCTTTGCTATTAAGCTCGTGTTACGTATTCTAAAAGTGGTTCTATATGGTGTCTAATTGGCATGGTCTTGATTTCCAGTATGTGAAGTGATAAGGAAGTGAATTTTGAAATTGGAAGGTAAATTAGACTGACGTCATTATGAAATTCACAATCGATGTATTGGGGATTTTCTTGAAAGTTGTCATTAGGGTAAGTGTTTTGTTACGTAAACAATCTTTATGAAAATTCTTGGTCATTTTCATTTATAAAATAATCATTCTCAATTCAAATTTCGCGCTCAATTTTAACCCACATCATCATTTTGACATTAACTTACTTACCTACCTAGAATTTATTAAGTATTCTACGGATGCAATATAAATTTACAATGAAATGAATGAAATGAAATATTTATTAAAACCATAACAAAGACACAATAACAATAGTGATCGATAATAACTGCATTAGTTATAAAACTGTGTCGCAGTTATTAACGCCCACCTCCAGAAAACAATTTTTCGCTACAATAATTTAAATCATAATCCTAATTTAATATTAAAAAAGAAATTAAATGTGTGTATGTGTGTGTATGTGTGTGAATGTGTGTGTGTGTGTGTGTGTGTGTGTGTGTGTGTGTGTGTGTGTGTGTGTGTGAGGTATGTATAGCCCAAATTTACATTAGATGATCAGGCCAAACCCAATAAATCTGTGATTTCTGTTGAGACTTACTTCAAAAATTATGTGAATTTAAATGAAGCACTGATCCAAGGCTATCCATATCTGCTTGCTTGTTAAAAATAATTTCAATTATGCGTTTCGCATACTAATTATACTTATTCAAAGGTAGGTGCCTAATAGTAATGCGCGTACGTAGGAGATTATGTAAATAAACAAAACATGGCATGATAACAAAAAAGGTTCGATAAATTGTTTTTTTTTTATTTATTTATAACTAGCAAACCAGTGAACCAAATGTTCACCAAAACCTGATTTCTCGAAAACCGGAAGTGCTACGTTACTCAAATCCGGTTTGTAGTCTTATCAGACTATTCTTAACTTATAACTTAAATATTCTCTTTATCTATCTCTTACGGTTTGGCCGCTGAAACAGCACCACAGACAGACGGACTTGTCTAATAGATAAGAGACTAGCAAACCAGTGAACCAAATGTTCACCAAAACCTGATTTCTCGAAAACCGGAAGTGCTACGTTACTCAAATCCATTTTGTAGTCTTATCAGACTATTCTTAACTTATAACTTAAATATTCTCTTTATCTATCTCTTACGGTTTGGCCGCTGAAACAGCACCACAGACAGACGGACTTGTCTAATAGATAAGAGACTAGCAAACCAGTGAACCAAATGTTCACCAAAACCTGATTTCTCGAAAACCGGAAGTGCTACGTTACTCAAATCCGGTTTGTAGTCTTATCAGACTATTCTTAACTTATAACTTAAATATTCTCTTTATCTATCTCTTACGGTTTGGCCGCTGAAACAGCACCACAGACAGACGGACTTGTCTAATAGATAAGAGACTAGCAAACCAGTGAACCAAATGTTCACCAAAACCTGATTTCTCGAAAACCGGAAGTGCTACGTTACTCAAATCCGGTTTGTAGTCTTATCAGACTATTCTTAACTTATAACTTAAATATTCTCTTTATCTATCTCTTACGGTTTGGCCGCTGAAACAGCACCACAGACAGACGGACTTGTCTAATAGATAAGAGACTAGCAAACCAGTGAACCAAATGTTCACCAAAACCTGATTTCTCGAAAACCGGAAGTGCTACGTTACTCAAATCCGGTTTGTAGTCTTATCAGACTATTCTTAACTTATAACTTAAATATTCTCTTTATCTATCTCTTACGGTTTGGCCGCTGAAACAGCACCACAGACAGACGGACTTGTCTAATAGATAAGAGACTAGCAAACCAGTGAACCAAATGTTCACCAAAACCTGATTTCTCGAAAACCGGAAGTGCTACGTTACTCAAATCCGGTTTGTAGTCTTATAAGACTATTCATAACTTATAACTTAAATATTCTCTTTATCTATCTCTTACGGTTTGGCCTATGAAACAGCACCACAGACGGACGGACTTGTCTAATAGATAAGAGATTCCTTCTTCTTTTCGTTAATGGTAAATTGAAATAGTAACCTATATTACAGGATAAAAATCTACATTAAAAGCTAGAAAAAAGTATAAAAGACTATCTATTCCTATCGAGAGATTAAGAGCTTTCGGAAGTGCGTTCAAGAGAGTTGACATTGATGCTGCATTGATGAAAACAAATTGTGCCACATATATTTTTATTCTTAAAATTTTATTTTATTAAAAAAAAAACACGACCGAAGTGAAACTTCTTTAGCTCCATCTGTATATGTGTGTGTGTACAATATTTACATATTTCATTTACTAGCTATAAGAGAAAGAGAGAAAGCATATGTGCACGCGCACTGCTTCCTCTTGCTTATATCCCCCACTCAACTCACGTTTGCCTCGCCCGAACACACTTTTCGTAACGCGTTACGCATTCGTCAGCTTACCCCTCAAGTCAAGCGTGCGTATAGAAGTTTCACTCAAAAAATAACAGTAGGATATTGTTTTTGAGATAAAATATGAGCAGTACGTAGTTCATGACGCCGAATAAGTGTTATAATATAGTTTGTAGTTTTTGGCATGATGCCTCGTGTATTTAAATGAAGTAATCGGTGAGAGCGTTGTCAACAAGATTTTTTTCTGACATAATATCTCTAAATAAAATATAAATTGGCCAATCTACATGCATACTTTGATGACGACCTCCGTGGTCGAGTGGTTTGTACGCCGGGTTTCATGGTGTAGCCCACTCGAGAGGTCCCGGGTTCGAATCCCGGTGGGGGCAGATGTTTGTGTGATGAATACGAGCATTTGTACTCCAGTCATGGATGTTTAATATGTATTTCTATATAAATATACTTATAATATGTACAGTATATGTACTGTATCCGTTACCCTAGCATCCCATAACACAAGCCTTACAGTGCTTACTTTGGGGCTAGGCTAATTGGTGTAGGGATGTCGAAAGTTGAGAAAAATATCGATATATCGATACATCGATCTTTTAAAAAATATCAATATCGGCTTCGATATATCGCGAAAAAAACATCGATATATCGATATATCGGACCAATTGCCCCAAAAATATCGTACAGTAGCTCACGAAATATGTCACGCGGAATAATAATGGAACGAAAATTATCTCCCTAAAAATAGACCCTATTTTCGAATGATGACATAGACAATACTAAATACAGCACAGATCATAGATATGTTGAATATCATTAATCTAAGATCCAGTTACGATTTTTCCAGAGACGAATTTAGTTAGATCGTGATATGCCGCTAATAATAAAAAAAATATCGTTTTTCATACGAATTTCGATATTGGTTATTTTGTATCGATGTATCGATATATCGAATCAAAATATATCGGCAAAAAATATCGATATATCGATACATCGATATATTTTCAACAAGCCTAAATTGGTGTGAGTGTAGGAAATATTTATATATTTATTTTTATTTACTTTTGGGTAGAATATGAGATTGTATGAGAGTTTAGAGACTGCTTACGTGTATGACGTCATAATTATATCCCTTGAGAAAAGAGGCATTTGATGTGCAGAAGTAAGGAATTCATTCATCATTATTTATGTTTAAACTTCAAACTCTTGTAACAGCCACTTCCTTTAGATTTAGAACGCCAGTCTAGAGTAGTAATCGCTCCACGTACTGTACCCTTAATACGAACCAATATCGAATTCGAATAGTTTGCGAGTGCGAAATGTCAATGTCAAATTTTGTATGGAAACATGAACAACAGCGCCACAAAGTACGTAACGAGAACTACAACTAAAAATCAGTACCCCTAGCACGAACCATTATCGAATTCGAATAGTTTGCGAGTCCGAAATGTCACTGTCAAATGTGTACTGATTTTTAGTTCTCGTTACGTACTTTGTGGCGCTGCTGTTCAAGTTTATATACAAAATTTGACATTGACATTTCGGTTTGCAAACTATTCGAATTCGATAATGGTTCGTGCTAGGGGTAGAGTACACATTTGACGATGACATTTCGAACTCGCAACGGTTACAAATTCGATATTGGTTCGGGCTAAGGGTACGGAAGACCACAGTAAAATAACAATATCCTTTGGTAGTGCTTTGTTACTGTTAAGTAAGGTACTGTGGTTTAAAATACCTGCAATAAGTAGATAACTGTCAATGATTTTTATTTATTTTTTAAGCATTTAACTGCTAGATGTTTAAATCTAAAGAAAAGTTTACTAGAAAAAAATCCACACGGTCCAGGCAACGGACGGGACATAATATATATGCATAATATGATAACATAATATGCATAACTATAATTGCTATTTCTTCTTTCAAATGTTTAATACTTGAAAAAGTATTCATTTGACATTGTGGGTTACCTACAATGCGAAGAGATGGCGCTGCCTTGCAGCTTAAGGCTAGGAAAATTTCGACGCGGCTAATAGGGCCGTGGTAGCATAATAGTCAGTGCATTCGCCCGGATAGCGAAGGATGCGGGTTCGAGTCCCGTCCGCTGCCTGGACCGCGTGGAATTTTTTCTAGTAAAATTTTCTTTAGATAACTGTCAAGTTTTCTTGTTGCGTTCCCATGAGACTACAGAAAGCAATATCAAACTTCAGTAAGATAATGTTTACAGTAGGTAGCTTCGCAGTTTATTATATGAAGTGCGTTTCCACGGACGGGACGCGGGACAACGGGACAGACCGGGGACACCGGGACACAGTCGGGGACAAAGAGATATGCTCCCGAGCGGTGTTAACTTCGACAGCCATTAGTCTCCAAGTGTTGCATGTTACCAACTTGGCTAACTTGAACGGAGACATTGAAAACATATCCGTTATACTCGGGAGGAATGCTAACTTTAACTTGCAGGCTTGCTTTAACAAAATGCTTTAGTACTAGGAGTATTAATGTAGTTATACGAATGTGGCATGGCCATCTCAAATAATCTGAAAACTGGACTTACCTGACAGACGCCAAAAAAAACACATATATTTTACAAGAAAATTTTAATTGATCATCAATCAATACAATATATTTTTGAAGTGAAAAATTCTTTACTGACATTGTACACTTTTTTTGTATGGGTACAAATGTTAAA